CCCTTCAAGTATTATGTCAGATGGAGATCTGAGATTTACATCGAGATTCTGGAAGAGTTTGTAAGACGCTTTGGGTACCATGTTGAGATTGAGTTCTGCCTATCATCCCCAAACGGATGGACAGACAAAGAGAACTATCCAGTCTTTAGAGGATTTGCTGAAAGCTTGTGTGTTGGATCAAGGTGGATCATGGGATAGTCACTTACCGTTGATTGAGTTTACCTACAACAACAATTATCATTCTAGTATTGAAATGGCACCGTATGAGGCTTTGTATGAAAGGAAGTGTAGGACTCCATTGTGTTGGTATGAGTCATGCAAGAATGTTGTACTCAGACCTGAGATTTCATAAGAGACGACTGAAAAGATCAAGAGGATCCAAGAAAAGATGAAAGTTTCGTAGAGTCTTCAGAAGAGTTACCATGATAAGAGGAAGAAAGCACCTGAATTTCAAGAGGGGGATCACGTGTTTTGAGAGTTACGCCGGTAACTGGTGTTGGCCGAGCTTTGAAGTCTCGAAAGCTCACACCGTGTTTTGTTGGTCCGTATCAGAGTGGCACAGTGAAAGCGTGGGAGAAGTTACATGGGATATTGCTTTACCGACGTTGCTTGCGAATTTGCATGATGTGTTTCATGTGTCTCGGTTGAGGAAGTACATTCCAGATCCGTCACATGTGATTCAGATATATGATGTACAAGTGATAGATAATTTGACTATTGAGGCATTGCCAGTACGGATTGATAAATGATAAGTGAAGCAACTGCGAGGTAAAGAGATTTCCTTGGTAAAGGTAGTTTTGGGAGGACCAGCTGGAGAATGTTGGGCTTGGAAGCGTGAGGATCAGATGAGGGAGTCGTATCCAACTCTGTTTCTTTTAGATAATTTTCGAGGGCGAAAATTCTTTTAAGTGAGGGAGAGTTGTAACACCCCAATTTTATTAGAATATTTATTTAAATATGAATATTCATATTTTTGGTGATTTTGCGATGGTTGGTATGAAGTATTGAGAATTAAGAATTTTGAGTTATTTATTTAAATAATAGTATGTAGCATGAATATATTGGTATTATTATTAATTTAAATAAATATAAGTGACTTGAGGGCAGAGTGGACTTTTGAGAATGAGTTAGTGATGGTGAAATTGGAAAGCCAATTTTAAAGATCCAAAGTTAGGTTTAACAAAAAGGGATTTTGAGGGAATTAGAATTCTTTCTTGTTAGACCGTGAAAAAAGAAGAAATAGAGGCCAGAACTCTGAGGAAGAGGATTGAGGCAAAAGCTTTGCAAATTTTTCAAGAATCAAGGAGAAAGGCTTAGAGTCGGCAATTAAAGTATGGGGAGTATTACCTTCATTATTTTCAATATATGATTCAATGTATTTAAAGCCGATTTAAGGATTTAAGAGGTTTTTGAGTTTGAGGAAATTAGGCCTTCGTGGCCAAATCTGTTTTCGAGGTTGTTTAAGTATGGGGAGTATTGCCTTCATTGTTTTCAATATGTGATTCAATGTGTTTAAAGCCAATTTAAGGGTTTTGGGATTTTGAGTATTGAATTGTTGTTGCCTTTCTGGTGAATTTAATGAGTTTGATGAATTTGAACTGATGGTCTGATAAGTTTGAGGCTGATTTGAGATAAGGGAAATTAGGCCTTCGTGGCCAAAATCTGTTGTTTAGGTTTTAACCGTGTAGGATAATTGATTATGAGAACTCTAATGAATGTGGAAAAATTGTAAGGATTTTATGGGAATTTCTGGTGAGTTTAATGAGTTTGAGGGATTTGAACTGATGGTCTGATAGGTTTGAGGTGATTTTATTGCGTTTCAATATTTTACTCTGATGAATATGACTGATTTGCCATTATATTTGTATGGTAGAAAAAGGTGTTACATTCATCATAGCTGGACAAAACATATTGACATTCATCATCATTTTATTAGGGATCTTGTTGAAGACAAAATTGTTACTCTTGAACATATGGCCACAAAGAAGCAACAGGATGATATTTTCACCAAAGCTTTGGATGCTAATCAGTTTGAAAAGTTAAAGGGTGAACTGAGAATTTACATGTGTGAAGAATTGTAGCAATTAGTGTTTCCTGTGCAGGAGACAAGGAAGAGGAAAAAGCTGATGCTGATATGTCAAATGTCTTTGTTGTTGGCTAATTTGTCTAAATTATGGCTAAAAAGGGGGAGAATTTCTATGAAGTTTTTGTGTCACGGTGTCTTACATCATGTCTTGACATCTTTGTTTGGGAGAATTTATTTTTCTTTGCAGAATTTTTTGTGTAGTTCCTGTATGCTTGTGTTTGTATGAAAAGTGTTATGGTTGTGTTCTTAAGGGGGAGCTATATCTAAGTGTTGTGCTTGTGCTTGTATGAGAAGTGTTGTGGCTATGCTCTTGAGGGGGAGGTATATCTAAGTGTTGGGGTTGTATTCTTGAAGGGGAACTATATCTGTATATGAATTGTTGGTCATGCAATTCAGGGGGAGTTTAGTTGTTTGGTGTGTGGTGCATAGGTTTACTGCTATTGACGTGATGTCAGACAAGATGTCTTAATATCGTGCTTCAGTTGTGTTAGAAGTTCTTATTTCTTGCCGTGGGAGAGTTTAGTTTATCTCTCTCTATGAGGTTGTTTCATTTTATTTCCGATGTATGTGACTCTGATTTGTCTTGGTGTTTTTTTTTTGGGTTGTTGCTATTGTGTTTGTTTTTTGTTTCTCTAGTTCTTCATGCAAAGGTTGTTTTAGCCAAAATTTGGAAAATGGGGATATCTTAAGTTCTGTAATTTTGGGATTGGCAACAATTTTGTTAAAATAGATATCATAGCAAGATGTTGATGTCTTGACATGTTGGTCAGACTTCATTGATGGTCAGCATGATGTCGTGACCTGATGTCATGACATGATATACCAGAAGTTTAAGGTTTTTTGTTTTGGAAGATTTGTTATTTAAAGTGTGAGATTATGTATGATTTCAGTTCACACTCTATCGTAATCCAAGGAGGGATATTTTAGGAACATCTGTCTATGCCAAAAGTGCATCTGTTTCATAAAAAGGATCCTTTTTTTAGTTTCTATTTTGTGCAGAAGATCTTGGAGAAGATTTGAAGCAACTGTTTTGGGATTTGTGAATTATTTAGCTGAATAGCCCAGGCCCATGCTGATCAATAGCTATAAAAGGAGCAGTTTTAAACCTAATGCATCAGAGAAGCCGTGTGTTAAAAGAAAGAGTATTAGGGTTTAATGTGTCTTTGTTGTTTGTGATCCACTCATATCTCTCTCTTTGATATCTGAGTTGGACTGTGTTATTTTTGTGCATTTGTGAGTCATTCATGTACCTCTTAGGTGCTTGAATTGGACTGAGTTTTGAGTTGTAATCACTCATAATTTTTTAAGCAGGGAGTGAATTTTGTGTCATTGGAAGTGTGTTCTTCTATTGCTTATTGTTATTGAGTTTATCATGTTGTGTAATTGAGGGAAGTGAGAGGGGTCTCATATTTATGAGTTCCTAGGTAGAAATTACACGAGTAGTGATTAGGTGAGAATTTGTAAACCAGAGGTTGGTTGCCGAGACTTCAAACTAATACTCTTATAGTGAATTTCCTTCCTGGTTTGGATGCTCCTAGATGTAGGTGAGGTTGCACTGAACTGGGCTAATAATTGATTGTGTTATTTACATTCAAGCATTTAATTTAACTGCATAATTGTTGGTGTTGTCATATTGTCTTGATCCCAGTGTCGTGACATCTTACTAGACATTTGGTATCTGTTACCAGAATTTCACTCTTCTACTATCTCATCAAGGGGACCACCATAGTAATTAGCCTGTGACAATGTGTGTTGAATATAGATGTCAACACTAAGATGAACCATATAGAGATCATCAATATCTAAGACACATTTGTCATCAACCAACAAGTTCATCCCAAATGTAGAATCTCTATAATATATCTTCTCAATGGAATTGTAACCTAAATCCTTAAAGCAATCTAACTATTCAAAATAACTCCATCTATCAACATCTATTTTCAAATCAGCAACCTCACCCCCTTTGTACACACTGAACTCGTCATCAACAAATTCACCACCCTGTTGGATTTTTAGGTGTAAATAGTCATCCATTTCAACCTATGTCCTATTTCCTAAGAAGAAGCGCAGAAAATAAGATGGATTTCAGATAGTTTGTTGATGTAACCCTAAAATTATAAAAACCCTAAAACGATAAAAAAAAGCACTTAAATCACTTCAAACATACCTCACTGTCTTCGATTTCAACTTGAATGAACAAGATTGCCTCAAACCCCAACAGATTCACCTTGAAGATGCAACAATAATTGCGTTAGGGTTACCTTCTACACTTCTGAGATCACATGTTTACTTCGTTTCATTCCTCTTTCTTTTTTAAGTTTACAACGTCATATTCCACATGGCATGAAGAATGACACATCAGCCACACGTGTGCGCCAAACATACAATACTATTGACTTTGACTAACAGTACTGACGGAAAGGACGAACGTGACGCCATTTTAAAAATTAAAGGATCACTTTGAAATTTTTTAAATTAAGTGACTAAAATAGATCCGAGGTAAACTTAAAGAACTAAAAAAGATATTTTGTCAAAAATATATTAGTCAGTCATGTCGTATAAATAATTTAAAACTTACAATTTGACGTAAGCGAATAAATAATTGTCGTGAATTGATACTCGTATAAAATTAATTTAGAGTATTTTTTTTCTAAAAAAATATATAATTAATCAATAAAATAAAATAACATAAATTAGATGAAAAGAGAAGTACACGATGAGCAGTTGAAACCCTAATTAACCAACACCTCTCCTGTCTCCTCCTAAACCACCTTGCCGGCCCGCCACACCGTCTATTCCCTCCCACAGCCAGAATTCCAACCCATTCTCAACTCTAATTCTTCAGTTCAGCCTCAAATTGAAGCTGGTTCTGATTTATCTGCTTAGAATATCAGCAAATTTTTGAGATACAGGTATGAATAGCGATCCTCCTCCAAAGAGTAATAAGTCGTTGAAGAGAAAACGGAGGTTGATCCGGAAGAAGAAGAAGGCAGCCGCTGCTAAAGAAAACGATAGTTTGAACTGTAACATTGTTTGTGAGTTTGAAAACTCTACCACAGGTGAGTAATCAATTTTTTAAAACCTATTTTATGGTACATTTGATTGGTGGATTCGGAATTTGAAACGAGTTAGGGTTTTATTGAAGAGAATTCATGATGCAGAACACGTGTTTGATGAAAACCTAACTCTGTAAACTGTGGGGTTTGTGAAATGCTGCCTGGATTTAATCATGAAATTGATTGTTATTATATATATTCAATTGGTCTGTTGATTCTGTGATTGTGAATGATGTTTTTATGATAGATTTTGATTTGAATATGTATGCTTGGTTGATTGTTGCTTTGGATGGAATAGTATGGATTAATCCCTTTACAAATGCGTTTTTATGGTTATGGTAGTGAGAAAAAGGATTTAGAAGGGATGATTGGTACAGATAGTCCATTTTAGCCGTGTTTGTATGAAATGAAACTATAATGGATTTTGATCGATGATTGTTGGGTGGCCGTTTGAGATGAGCTATGTGCTTCCTATTCATGGTTTTGCATATCTCACTGTTAGTTGCTTTATACGAGCTATATGTATTTGATGAGCCATGTGCTCCAAATTTAATGAGCTATATGTGGGAGATGAGCCATGTGTTCCTTAGTTATTTGCCCAAAAGGAGCTTTGTGCTCCTTATCGACGAGGCCTTTATCCCATGGTTATTTACCCAGGAAGAGCCATATGTATGAGACAAGCCATATTTTCAATAGTTATTTACCCAGGATGAGCTATGTGCTCCATATCAAGTGTTTGGTCCAATGTCTCACAGTTATATACCCATGATGAGCAATATGTATGAGACAAGAAGAGCCATGTGTTCCATAGTTATTTACCCAGGATGAGCTATGTGCTCCCTATCGATTGGTTGGTCTTATATCTCACAATTATATACCCAGGATGAGCCATATGTATGAGACAAGCCACGTGGTCCATAGTTATTTACCCAGGATGAGCTATGTGCTCTCTATCGATTGGTTGGTCCTATATCTCTCGGTTATATTCCCAGGTTGAGCAATATGTATGAGACAAGCCATGTGTCCCATAGTTATTTACCCAGGCTGAGCTATGTGCTCCCTATCAATGGTCCCTATGTCCCACGGTCATTTGCTGAGAATGTGCCATATATGGAAGATGAGCCACGTGTCCCTTTGTTATTTACCCAATATGAGCTATGTGCTCCATATTGATGGTTTTTGTATCTCATGGTTATTTACCCAAGATGAGCTGTGTGCTCCATATTGATGGTTCTTGTATCTCATGGTTATTTACCCAAGATGAGCTATGTGCTCCTTATTGATGGTTCTTGTATCTCATGGTTATTTACCCAAGATGAGCTATGTGCTCCATATTGATGGTTCTTGTATCTCATGGCTGTTTACCCAATACGAGCTATGTGCTCCATATTGCTGGTTCTTGTATCTCATGGTTATTTACCCAAGACGAACTATGTGCTCCATATGGATGTGTCCAATATTCCATGGTTATTTATCCAAAGATTGAGCTGTGTGCTCCATATGGATGGGTCTCGAGCTGTGTGCTCCACATGGATGGGTCTCGTAGTCTACTATACAAAAGATACAAAAATTTACGTAGATTTGAACTATGTGCTCCATAAAGACGGGTCTCATACCTCACGAATAAACTTTTAGCTCAACTGAAAACAGGCTTGATTACCCACATGAGATGAGAATTGAATGACGGTATTTGGATTAATTATGAGATGTCAGTATGTTAATTATACTGTTCTGTTTTGATGTAAATGATTTTTTGAGTTGTTATCATTACTATTATTTTGAAAGAATGCAATATTTTAGTCAATTTTTCCGGTTTCCGTGCCGGCTGGAATCAACACTTTTTCAAACTGATTTTAAATTTTGGTTACTTTTGATTATAAACCTTTGTCTTCAGCTATTGGAAAAAGATATTTTGAAAACACTAAGGAGCCATTTGTTCCCTGGATAATTATTGTTTCTTTGGTTAGTTATAGTCACTTTTGGCCTCTGTAGTACCGACACCTTTATAAAAGGTATGTCAATGTCAGTGCCGGACACCGACACGACACCGACACTTGTAATTTGATTCAATTTATTCATTTTTTCAAATTATTACTAGTGTCGACATGTTAGTGTCGTGTCCGCGCATTAGCTGGCTGGGAAATTTATTTATTTGGGGTTTGTTTGAAAGCCATCAAGGTGATTCTTGCATTACCATTGAACTTTTTAGATGTTTGATTTATTGTCTTTTTTTATGAGTCAGACTATTATTTATCTCCTGCTAAATGCTTACTTTATTTATTATAATTTTCCACATTTTTCCAACTATTTAAACCCAATGTAACCGAGGTGTTACAATTCATGTACTAACAAAATGCAAAAATTATCCATTACTAATGAAGAAGATAGCTCAAAGGCTTCGCCAATTCCTTCCATTGGAAAATCTGTTGGATGTTTGAAGAAGAAGCTTCTTATTCTTGATATTAACGGGATTCTTGCTGACATAGTTTCACATCCTTTCCCAAAGAAAATAAAAAGAGATGCAATGATAGCGAAGAAAGCATGTGAGAAATTATTGTCATATTTTCTTTTTTCAATGAATCAAGTCTCTTTTTTTCAAGTAACCAATTTGGTTTTCTTTGTTAATTGGATTGTATTTCATTTCAGTATTCAAGAGGCCTTTTTGTAGTGAGTTTCTCAACTTTTGCTTCGAGAAATTTGACGTGGCTGTCTGGTCTTCAAGATTGGAGTACTCTTCTACTTCAACTTTGTTCTATATATTATCACTCAACAACTATCTTGTTCTCACTTTGTCTGCATCTTTTTGCAAGGATTTATTGTACGGTATGCAATTAATTATCTTTTGCTTATTATTATTAACTCCTGGATTTTATAATTTTGTAGGAAAAATGTCAACAATATCATTGATCATTTGTTGGGAAACATGAGTCAGAGGTTGATTTTCTGTTGGGTGAGCACTGAACACTTTATCCATTTGCTTCGATATTTCAGAATAATATAATAACTCTGGTTGTTCTTAGTTTTCACATAACTTGTCATCTAGCAAAACTGTTTTGGTGTATGTTCAAACTCAAATTTTTGTGCATGATGATTCTTTATTTTGATGGTTTCACTGTTTTTGTCTAACCTCTTCGTTTTTTTTTGTTGAAATTACTTCAAAACATTGTTCTACTTTCATCTCATTTACATATTCTTCACAGAACATTTCACAATGTACTACGACAAATATCAACACTCTCGGCAACGATCGCAAACTAGTTGTTTTTAAGGATCTGAGGAGAATTTGGGATAAGTATTACCCTGATCTTCCTTGGGAGAAGGGATACTACAACGAATCAAATACACTGCTTTTAGACGACTCTCCCTACAAGGGTTTACTCAATCCTGTAAATTAACTAACTATTTCTTTTATCAATTTTCGTTTAAGATTTTCAACTACATGTCCTAACTTCTGTTTGATGTTTTGATTAATTATTGTAGCCACACAATTCAATATATCCGCCAACGTTCAATTGTCGACAACTTAATGACACGTCACTAGGTATGTTATGTTACAGAATTACACATTTATTTTCTCATTGAAAGGGCTTATTTTATAGCGGTGATTATAGAATTTACTTTTACATGATTTGTGTCAGGTGTTGGAGGCCGTCTACGAAAATATCTAGAGCGATTAGCGAATGCTGAAAACGTGTCGAAGTTCGTAGAGCAGAATCCATTTGGTCAAAAACGAATCAGTGAGACAAGTGAATCTTGGAGCTTCTACCGAGATATACTTCATTCGCTAAAACCTAAAAATTGAAAATCGGGTGCCCTGTCAACTGGAATATCAATTTTGAAGAAATTGAGACAGAAGGCTCTTTCTTTCTCTGACTCTAACTCTAGTCAATAATACATAACTCTGTATTTTTGCATGATTGCATATAAGGAATCTCTTTTCAAGTTTATTCCTGTTGTATTTTACTATGATTTTCCTCCTTTTGGATAAATGTACTAGAGTTCAAGTATTTAAAAAAATAATTCTTGATAGCTAGAATTTTGCTGAAAAATGCAGACGTGAATCTGCTATATTTGTTGTGTGGTGCTGTTTTTTTTTTTATACTTAGCGCATGTTTAGTTATGCGGCATAAAAATTGATTTTGAGTTGTAAGTAAATTGATGTATGTTTGTGGATAAATTTATGTAAAATTGAGTTGAACATTCAACTTCAATGTATAAATTACATTTAAACAGAAGTTTTAAACAGAAGTTTTAAATTTTAGCTTTAACTAGAATCAATTTTGGAGGCAATTTTAGAAGAATCACACCCCTCAAAATCAATTGTACATCTCTTTAATTGCTCTTCAATTCTATTTTTAAAGTATGTAACACTTCAAAATCACTTCAATTCTATTTTTAAAGTATGAAACACTTCAAAATCACTTCAAAACTATTAGAATTGTTTTTGCCTAAGTTAAATCAAATATACACTTATTAGTAGAAATGGTGTTTAAATCGTTTCATGTAAAGTGTTAGACTAAAAATTTTATGCTGAGACAAGGGAAAATTTTATAGCTTCAATAAAATTTGTGACGTTTTAGAGATAAAATATTAAACGGTTAAAAATTAATACGAGAATAAAATAAATAATTTATAACTTTTTGTAGATAATTCATAATTATTTTATATAATAATATTAATTATATTTTTTAATTTATATAAATTACATAAAATAGCATAATTTATCACCATAAATAAATTATTACATTTAAAAGATAAAATGGCACTTATTTGTATACTCATTTCTTCTTTATAAATAAGATTACTATTATTTATTTATTAAATCGAATGTTTATTTATTTATTTTACTATAACTCTAATCCATGCATATTCATATAAAAATTTGAGAAAATAAAAAAAATGGTTAATCGAGTTTGAATTTGAAACTCCCCTCAAAATATTTCACAACCAAATCATTATGATGTAAGAATAAGGATTTTATTTATTTGTTTTTTATTTTTATTTTTATTTGACTTTATTTATTTGTTTATTTTTATTTTTATTTGACTTTATTTTTTTTTATTTATATTTATTTTATTTAAATGGGGGCACAGGATCGTGATATTCTTGGTAGACTAATGAAAAAGAAAATTATAGGTGAAAATAGGTTTGGCCGAGTTAGACTTTGACAAACTTGAGTCCGATCTGCTAAAAATTTCAAAACTTAAACCTGACTTATGGCTTATCGTAGGCTTGTTTTTAGGTCTGAGTTAGACATTTTCGAAGGTTTGTTTGATCTATTAGCATACATAAAAACCTATTATATTTGAACATTTGTAAATAAACAATTACATTAATGTTTAAATACACTAACAAATTAAAAGATCAATAAGACTAAATATTTATTTGCATTGACTTATTCAAGTTTACATATTAACCAATGTTTTAAAAATCGGACTGGAGATCGAACCGATGACACTTACAGTTTAAAGTTCAATTGGTTAAACCTACGGTCGAACCGTTTATTAAATAAACTAATAATATGAAACTAAATTTTATAGATATGTCACATATTATTATATGTTCTCAACTTAATAAAATAAATATTTCAAAAATCCATTACAAATTTAATATAACAATATCAATAATACATAAGATAACATACTTCTACCCTTCATTTCAACCATCATTTAATAATATTTTGACCAAACTAAAGAATTACAATAAAATAAATTAAACTAATTCAAACCAAAATAAAAAGGATAGAATATAGTAACTAAAATAAAGTTCAAATAATTAAGAATACCTAAATTAAATAAGATAGAATACCAAAATATAAATAATACAATATACTTCATTAAACAACAAAAAATTGAATTTGAGTTGAATTACGACAAACAGGTCTTAATTGGCAACAACAAACACTATTGATTTGAACGACAATCAATAGAGTTGGACATCGTGACTATATTTGAAAGAGACGACATGTTGATGATGAAATGTGGTTTAAAGAAAAACTATAATAAGTTGACAAAACATAGAAGTTTGTATGGTTGTAAAAAATATACGAAGTTCTTTTGTGGTTGGAAAATGTATGTTAAGTTTCAATATTAACATATTAATTTTTTTTTTTAATTTAAAAAATGGTCAATTTGATGATTTTTTTTGAACCGGACGATTTTACAAAACCGGTTCGGTTGAACGGTTTTGGACGGTTCAATCTGATTTTTCCGGTTTAAAATACAAACCATAGTACTACTACTATGTAGTAATACACTACTGTGTATGTATGACTCCCTCTCCTCTGCCTCCTTTACATCCTCTATATCGTCTACCTCCTCGGCTATCAATCCCCCGTCCCCCAGTGCTGTCTCTAGTACAACAATGCCTCCTGCCTCCGCCATGATGTCATCTAGGACCTACCACACACCAGACCCATCAGAAAAGAGACATGTGTCAATGCCTGCCTGCGCAACTCCACTATGCAAACTGTTGGCTGGGAATTTTGACGCAAACTTTGTTTAAGAATGATAAATAGAAATCAAGTATTTTTTGAGTTGTTGTTGAATTCGACAGAAGCTTGTGCAAGAATCCTAGTCGAAGAAATCTTCATGAGAAGGACGTGCTGGGAAGACACTTAGAAATATTTTCTAAGTTTTGACAACAACTTCGACGTAGGGTGTATGTGGCTCTCATTCGACAGAAATTTTGAAATTCAAAATACACATCATAACTGCCTTTGTCCTTATCCGTTTCTCAAAAGAGGACGCGTGGAGAGATATGGCGAAATGAAGACATGCAAAGCACACCGTGCCAATTTTTGGAGGAATATCCGTTAAAAACAATTATTTTTGACATATTATAAATAAGAATCTTAATGTTTAGGATTTCGTGTGTTCATTATTGTACAAATACTAAAAAAAAACACTCAAAGTATCTAAGTCAAGTGAGAAAAGAGTTTTCATTAAGAAATGTACGTTTGAAACATCGCATTTATTTCAATTGAAATTCACTTCCAATTTACTATTTATCTCTTTAGTGCACTTTTACTTTGAATTTTATCTTTATTGTAACTTTACAATTTTATAAGTTTATCTTTTCAAAACTTTTAAACAATCTTTCACAAGCATTGTCGAAGTGTTCTTGACATTTCCAAAAATTATTTCGACAATAGCTATGTCTTAAGGATTTACTGATTGATTCTTCAAGTAAATCATTTTTAAAAGACCAACAATTGTTTATCAATTTTACAATAAACAACAACGACACATAGGCAAGACATCTCAGCATATTGGTGAATGATCCAAATGAATTTTAGAAGAATCAAACGCCCAATATCAAACCATATTATGACATCACCAAATTTTCAATAATACTCCGTCTATTCTATATTATAAATAAATTTTACTTTTTATTTATTAAATAATTAATAAAACTAATTTAAAAAGTAAAATTTACTTATAATAGTAAAACAGATAGAATAGAGAGAATGCAAATTTTATAGACAATTAGAGACCACTGACGCACCGACATGATCACAAAAAATACTCTCTTTAATCTAATTTATAAAAAAAAATTAATTTTATAAATTTATTAAATAATTAATATATTTAAATTATATATAACTCTAATTGTAGGTAGTATTATTAAGAGGTGGTGCATGCGGTAAGTCTAACCGTAGTACCACCAATAAAAAAAGGAGTAATAAAGTACTAATAAAAAGAAATATTGATAAACTAGACCATAACATACAAATTTATAATAAGTATTTGATACTAGTTCATAATAGATAATTTAATTTAATATAGGTATAATTATCAATTGAGTAAGGTTATAAATATAAAATGATATAAAACATATATATTATCAGTATTTATTTATTTTCATTTAAGATAACAAATATAAAAATAAAAACAAATAAAAAACAATAAAATATAAGCTATAAACTATTTTAATATATATACAATTTACATTTGAGACTCGAGAGACAATGAGTCTGATTGGAAAACTAAAAAAAAGAACTTTTAGTTTTTAGTTTTTAGTTTTAAACCTTAAATTATTAGAGACAGACATTAAGAACACTTCTCGTTTCCCAACTTGTCCTTTGAACTAAATTGTAAGATACTTTTCGTTTCTCGCATTAAAATTGCTCCAATTTTCAAGTCAAAGAAACACCGAAAGTCCAAAGGTCAATGCTATATCTTCATTTAATTTAACTTTTTATTTTCTCTATTTATTTTCTTTGCGCTCAAGTCACGAATCACAAAATTCACACACTTCTTCGGTATGTTACTCTCAATTTTCTTCAATTCTGTTATCACTTTGTCTTTTGGATTACTTGTTTATAGTTTTTTTGTTAGATCAGTTTTTTTTTTGGTTTATTTGTGATTGTGATGTTTTTGATTACAGAATTGAGTTTGATATAGATAAAAGGAAGAAAATGGTTTTTGGTGTATCAAAGGTGAAGAATACTTGTAGTGAAGAAACTGCAACAAAATTATCAGTTGATGATGAAAAACAAGAGGAGGAAAACAATTTGTGCATTTCTTCGATTCGATGTTCGAGGAAGAAGCTTCTTGTTCTTGATATTAATGGACTTCTTGCTGACATTGTTTCTCCACCTCCCAAGAATGTTACAAGGGATGCAACCATTTCGAGAAAAGCTTGTAAGAAATAACATCATTATTAGTATTATGTTTATAATATATTCATCTGAGAAAAGGACTTAATTGAATGTAATCGTACGTGTTTGTGTCTGTGTGTGTCTGTGTCATGTCATGTCGTACCAGACACATCTTTAATTTGAATTGTTGATCCTATATGTGATTCAAATAATATGACAAGTACAATTGAATGTAATCATTCGTGTCTGTGTTGAGCCAGGACCTAACACATTAGAATTATGTGACAGTGTAGTAGTTCTCGGCACAATGGCGGTGTATATGAACTGAATCTATGATGAACTAATTTATTTTTATTGATTTGTTTGATTTTTCAGTATTCAAGAGACCTTTTTATCTTGAGTTTCTGAAATTCTGCTTTGAGAGATTTGATGTGGCTGTGTGGTCTTCAAGATTGAAGTATTATTCTTCAACTTAATCCTTCTGTTTTATCAAATGTCATTGAATTAATTAGTTTCGCTTATTGACGAATGTTTTCTGATAATTTTGCAGAAAATATGTGGATATGGTAGTTGATTATTTGATGGGAGACATGAAACAAAAGTTGATTTTCTGTTGGGTAAGTACTAATCACTTGTTCATTTATTTTATAAGTTTAACTAAAGCTTCTGAGTTTTAAAAAGAATATTACTGCGAAAGGGTCGCAACAAAAAGGTATCAGAAGGTACCATTACTGTTATTGGCGAAAGGCCGGCTGATAAGCATGTCTCGCAAGGGTTTATTGCTACTAAAACGGACGTGGAATTTTCAGAATATAATATAACGGATCACAAAAAATATTTTTTGTATAAATATTGTGAGTAATTCATATTGCGACGATCACATTCAGTAACACATCACCTGTACAGACCCAAATCGCAAAAGCCTTTACGCAACCGCAACGCGTCCACTGACTGAAATCTTTAAAGTCTTTACGCTAATGCGACTGTGATCGTTATTTAAAACCTTTGAGATATGTCCGCATTAGTTTTTACATTGGCTTACATTCATCTCATTCTACATGTTGTTCTTGACAGGATGTGTCTCATTGTACTGAAACAAATTTCAGAACACTTGAAAACAGACACAAACCACTTGTTTTTAAGGATTTAAGAAAAATTTGGGACAAATATGATCCTAACCTTCCTTGGGAGAAGGGATATTACAATGACTCAAACACATTGCTTTTGGATGATTCTCCCTACAAGGCATTGCTTAATCCGGTAAATAAACCGACTTTTTCGCTTCTTTGTTGTCTCACTTTTTCATTCTTATCTTCAACTAACTTATCTTTATTGTTTTGATAAACTGTTGTAGCCATACAATTCAGTATTTCCTCATACATACAGTTATGAGAATCAGAATGACATTTCACTAGGTATGCTTATCAGAACTTTGCTGATGTAGAAACATTTGTGAAACTGTTTGAAAGAGCTGATGAAAACAACTTACGATGAAATATTCATAAGTTGTTTTCCGCTTATTTTCATAAATTCTTCAAGATAGCTCACGGATAAGACTTACATGATGAACATGTACTCGTTTTGTCAGCTGCGGGAGGTAATCTCCGACGATATCTGGATGGAGTGGCAAATGCCGAAAATATGGTGAAGTATGTAGAAGAGCATCCATTTGGTCAAGAACGGATTAACGAAAGAAGCGATTCTTGGAATTTCTACCTAAATGTTATCAACAGTCTTACAGTTTGTCGACATGAAAAGTGAAAATATAGTTTCTTTCAATTGGATTTTGAACAATTTAGTTAGTCTAGAAGGGATGAAGAATTTTCGATAAAGTATATTGTTGGAATGTGGATTAGGCAGAAAAATTTCATGAATGAATGAAGTTGTTAGTCTAGAAGGGAATGAAGGAGTTACAGAGTATGATTGAAGATCGTATAGTTGACGCTGCAGTTTCTGAAACTGCGTTGGACCGCAATTGCTGTGTGATTTCAATCATTTGTGTGATCTCTATAGGAAACACATGTGACAATTTCAGCCATGTTTCTTTAGTTATTTTTCATCAAAAATCAAAATTTCATTATTCTAAAGTTCATTTTTTTTTCTTTTTCTTATTACATATATGAATTGAACTATTTATATAAGTAAAATGTTAAACACAATGTTTCTCCATTATCCATCGGTAGATTATCTTTTGAAATATTTAGTTGGTTCCAGATTTTGTGCATTCTCTTGATAGCAAATCATACGTGGAATGTATTTTCTTTTGTTCCAGATTCTGCGTGAATTTATTGAATTTGATGTGAATTTGTTTTAGAAACTCTAATTGGCCTTATAACCGTATTGTTTTCTCTATATAAAGAGGTTGTTTCTCTTAGTAGTGGAAAGAGAATACACACACATTATTGCTATGTGTTTTGTTTTTGGTAAACTATGTCCTTTGTTATTCTCTACCATTTAGTGAGAGTTAGAGTTTTAGTTTGTATTCTTGAAGTTTGTCACGTTTATATGTTTTGATACTTATAAACACTTAGAGTGCTTGAGTGGAAGCGATGGATTTTAGATTCAGAGGGAGTCTGAGTTAATTTTATGGGTAATATTAAAAAAATGACTCTAAAGTTAGGGATAGTTCATTTAAGTCCATTGTATACTATTAACGACTTATTATTATTGCATTTCTTTCACTAGGCTATTGCCTTTCAAACGTATGTGATAATTGCTTATGTCATTTTATTATTATTTGTTTAATTGTCCATCTATTATTTTAGACCATTTGGTCTCACATATTGATTTAACATTGTTTATGACATCTTATCTCTGATCAAACATAATTTCAATTGACATCATAGAAGACAACCTATTCTTTTTCGGTGTTCCAATGTGACTCGACTCAATCATGACAAATAAACCAAACTACTAATTGACAAGAAAAAAAAACATAAACAGGAAAACCCTAGGAAGCAAAGCAAATTCAGGACGCCAGACGAGACATTGCAAAACAACATGTTTGACCTACAACAACAAAAAAGCGATCTACAACTGGCGATCATGAAGATCAGGTGGACCCAACTGTTAGATGCCAAATTTCACTTATTTGATCTATCAAATGTTGACATTTTTCACTCATTTTTGTCAATTAAGTGTTGAAAACCACTCTAGTTTTGGTTGGTTTGCAGCATATTGTGAAAATCTCTTGGTACCTTTGATTTGTGCGTTATTGTGCAGGAATTAGGCACAAAACAAGTGAAAAGTCAGACACAAGAAATGGGCAAGGAAACCAAAACAACATGCAAACCACCAAAATGCTGTCATGCTCGCTAGGCGAGCTGATAGCGAGCAAGGCGAGCAGGCCAGCGAACGCACCTAGAATGGGACAGAGCCAAAAGTGCCAAACTTCGCTGGAGCGAATAAAAAAGCGAACGCTCGCTAGCTGTTCGCTAGGCGAGCAGGTAGCGAACGCTCCCAGACTGAGTGGGGTATTTAAGTGTTTTTAGTGTTTTTTAGGTCATAACTTCCATAACTTGTATTTTTTTCCATTCTAGACATCAGAACTTATTTTTCTTCATTTCTTCTAGAGAGAGAAACACAAAACCCTAAGGGGGAGGAGGTAAGATCTTCGATCTCTTGTTGGGGTTTGGATCGTAATCTTTTGATACCTTATGTATTTCATCTAATATATGTTTGTGAACTTATTTTGGATTCTCTATTGATTGAATATCTTTGATTATGTATTTGTGGATCTTGACAAAACCTTTTCACATCTTTGATCTTAGATCTTCTTCTATCAATGAACAAGCTTTTGACATGGTTTTGAAGTTGATATTCATTTTATCTTCTATGGTGTTGTGTTGATTAAGTAGCATGGGTAGCATGGGTAGGATCAATAGTATATTGTGTGAGTATGTGATAATAGTGATGAAGAACGATGTTCACCGACATTTGGCGGATTAGATGAATACATGTAAAAAGGGTTAAGCGTGTGTACGTATTCTGATCATTGTATTTTATGTAAAACAATTGTTTATCTGATATGGGTTTCATTCTGGTTTACTTATTAATCTTTGATTTGAATCGTGATAGAGATATACTTTTCGGATCTGGATCTAGGATGATTACCTGTTAGGTCCTAAACGCTAGAGATAGATTTAGGCTTAACATTTGCGTGAGTATCAGATCTTAATACTCTGTGTTGTGTTTTTGTTGGGTGAGAGATCACCTATGAGGCAACATGGTTTTTCTCTCGATGCCGCGTTAGAGATAAGCTTTGTCGTGAGTGATACATGATGATATTAGACAAATGATTGCGTTATGTTTAATTTGATCAGAAGAATGCATGTGTTATCAATTGATGATATCCAATCCCAACAAGGCTCCGTTTATATTTCAGTCTTTATTTTATATTTTCTGTTTTTATCTATGGTTCTTTGAACCCTTTAAACCAAACCTTTTGAAATTAAGCTTAGAAATGTAGAAATCGTTGAACGGCGTTCAAATCGCACTGGGTACTTAAATATTTTTCGCTTGCTGCTTTACCGCTCCAACACCAACCTCTATCGGCAGAGATCTGGGATGCGCAAGTCCCAAACAACTTTAAACTGCCCCTAGCTATGTTCGACGACAAGAGTGATCCTTAATAGCACATTATAACTATCAATACACAAATAGTTATCATCATTAGAGCTAATGACTCCCTTAAATACAAGCTAATGGATAGACCACTGAAAGAAATAGCTCTCCGAGGGTACATGAACTTGCTGAGGTTCTCATTGCTAGTTGTCAAGATCTAACGAGAAAAATGATACATCATTTCTTGGTCAACAAGCACAAAAAGGTCTCCACCACGAGTCTTTTCAACATAAAACAAGTTTACTCGAAGACCTTGAGAAAATAATTGGCATCATTCAACAAAGAAACTATCTAGGTCGCCCATCCAAACCAGGAGATGTTGTAGGGGTTTTTCGAACGGTTTGAAGGTGGAACACTTCAACGAGTCCCTGGAGCAGAAAACAACGTCCTCGATGGAAGAAGTCATGGCTAAGGCAGAATGTTATATCAAAGGAGAAAAGATCAACACCAAAATAAGAACCTGAAAAGAAATGAAGTGAGGCCAAAAGCATGAATCATCCGAGTATAAGAAGAATTAAAGCGCTATACAAGTACATGAGAAAGCTACCTTCAAGCCCTCATGAAAGCCCTTGGAGCACTTCACTCCACTTAATACAAGAATATAACAAAATTTGCAAGATGTTTACCATGCCAAGATAATTCTGGATCCCACGCCCCTCGAGGAGACTTCATTGGAAACGACCCAAACAAGTGATGTAAGTACCATAGGATTCATGGTCCTCACACCGATGACTGCCACCATTTGAAGCGAGAAATCAAAAAGCTAATTCAAAGAGGTAGGATGTAGAGATACATTCAAGGAAGCAAGAGTAATGAAGAGAGGAGGACCTCGCCACAAAGGGGAACAAACGAAGAACTCTTCTACCCGAGAGAAGTCGCAGTGGCGAAGAAAGGCACAAACCTAGTAAATAATACCACACATTAAATAAAATTTTCGGAGGATTCACTGGAGGCAAAGATGAATGGATTTAGCATAGATTTTTCAAAAAAATTGATTCTCTTAGCAGAGTAATCCCGATGAACGGATCTTGATAAAACCATTAATCATAAAATCAAATATCAAAATAAGGATTCAGCAAATACCTTTTGTAGCCAACTTTATCTTTGATCACGAACGAAGGAAGATACTGACGTCTCTATGTAGTCCACACGACTACAAATTGGAATGCAGTGCTAGCCGTTTTCTGAGAATGACGATCATCATAATTGATAGGGAAAAAAGCTCCTCTATTTATATAGAGAGCTACCAAAACCCTAATACTCTTATTTTAGATTTTTCCAAATTAAACTCAATCTTATTTAATTAAGTTATTTTAATTAAATATAATATTATTTATATTTAATTAAACTCTTTTAATAAAATAAAATAAAATATTAATGAAATAAAATCATATTTAAATTAATTAACTGCCATTCTCATTTATTTAGTTAAATCATATTTAATCAAATAAATTATATGTGTTAATGTATTAAATAGTTTATATACAATTACACATAATTTAATTAAATCTTATTTAATTTAATCTTTCATTCCACTATCAGTACTCTATGAGTGTGACCTTGTAGGTTCTTGTAATGTTTGCAATAATATCAAATCACCTATTTAATATTATAAATAGTGAACAATATCTAGCAACACATCACTGCTACCTAAGTAAAGAAAATGTCATGTGATATGACATAATCTTTTTATGATAATGATCATGTGTATAACTATCCTTTTACCCTTATATCTATATTTAACACAAGACATATAATGTGTCACCCTTGTATAGTACAATATTATATTCTCTGATTCCCGTGTATACTTGATAACAACAAATAAGTCCAATATCTCATATTGACTTATTTGAGCACGATCATGCATTTTACAATTATACTCTATCAAATGGCCCATAGATATAACTCTTGTATATGCAGGAGGGGCAACGACGATCAAAGGCGTTTACCATTATTCAAAGGGTATCTATCCCATAGATATAACTCTTGTATATGTAGGAGGGGCAACGACGATCACTCATTATATGAAGTACTTTATCATCATTGTAAATAAGGTACTCTATCACTCATTATTCAAAGGGTATCTATCAAATGGCCCATATTCTATCAACGATTTATGTGTAAATTGTCTATCTTTC